AAAAGTTCTTGTGACATTTTGACGCACGATTTTTTACTGTGTATAGAGGAAGGTGGGACAAGACGAGGTAGTTAAGGTTTAATGATGGATAAACTACTACTTTTCACAATCACCGCAACACCTTTACTTTTTAATTATATATTCTTTGGTAATCAGTCTTTCGATTCACCTATAAAAAAACCATATCTTTACAAGTTTTCAAACTAAAAAGGTAATGATTCAGAAAAGTTTCTTTTCTCCCATCTTATCTCACAATTGGGATAAGACGAGACCCCCGTGGGCAAGATGAGGTACCTATTAACAAAAGATATAAAATTTATTATTTACTGGGTAGACAACGGAAGCACACATGTATACCTTTATGATCATTGTCTTCTATATTTGCATACGAGCAACGAGCATTTTGATAATAACCCATCTTATTTTCTAAAACAGCAGTAACCGCGTTTTGCATTGTTTTTTTAAATCATTTTTTTNAGTCCGTCTTTTGTTTGTAGTTTCTTATCATTCTGGAACAATGGTAGACTTAGATTTTTATTTATATCTATTTGTCTATNTGGGGCAAGATAAGATAGATATTAAAAATACTCGTTACCTCATCTTGCCTTTTCTTNTCTCGCTAAAATATCAACAAATTTCCACCATTGTACACACTTTTAATTCGTTCCATAGATTACAGTTTACATGTAAACTACAAGTGAACAATGCTCTCAACTTTCTCGACATATCAATTATCATAGAAAACAACAGGTTGATTTGCGATTGGTATCACAAACCAACTTATTCTGGCCGATAAATTATCATTCACAAAATCCGATTAGCCATAAAATAGACACCATATACTCACTTGTCAATAGAGCTATACTTTTATCTGAACCACAATTTCACAGAAAAAATTTAAAATTCATTATTAACATTTTATTGAAGAATAACTATCCAATACTAATAGTACTAATTTTTAATACCATCAATAAAAAATTGAGAACAGTATTCTTAAATAATTTAACAAACACGTTGTTAGTTCTATACAAGAAGATAAAGATGAAGAAAAAAAATTCTTTTTTGTTCTTTCGAACATACATAATTATAACACCATGTTTAATCATATAAATATCAATAACAAAAATATCAAACCTACATATTGTAATTTCAACCAGTTGTCGAAATTTATTAGAACACATAAAGATCCTGTCCCTTTCAACAAGCACAAAAATGTCGTTTACCGTATTTCTTGTCAACAATGTACATTTTCCTATGATGTACAAATTAATAAACAAGTAACAACTAGAATAAAAGAACACATTAATTATGTAAAGAAAGAACAGATCGACACTTCAGTAGTAGCCAAGCATAGTATCGAGACAAGGCATAGTTTTGACTGGAATTCTGTTAAAATATTAGACATAGAGCAGAACAATTATAAACGACAAACCTCTGAAATGTTATACATTAAAAAACAGGAGCATGGTTTGAATTTGATGANNGACANGNAGGTTTTGCATGATACATATATACTTATACTTGACAAACTACAATTTCAACATGCTGAGGGAGTGTTGCTTGTTGAATTCAAACTCTTTTGCTCTTTAACTTCCCTGATAAGAAACCATTTACAAAATTATGTGACAAAATCTTGCACTAAAATTGTAATTTGCAATTATACAGATATATTTTAAGAAATAGATGTAAAAACATTGATCTTTTCTAAAATATTTGTAGTCGTTTGCAAAATTACTTTCCAAANTACTATTTTGGCAAAAGAATAACGATATGGCGAATTATCTTAGCAGTATATTTGCAAAATTAATTTCACAAAGATTCACAAAGAAATTGTCCAATAATTGAGAAAAGAAATTCAGCTATGTGATGTTTCAAATATGTAGAAATATGATTGCATATGAAGAAATGCAAGAAATCGTCGTCACTCATGATGTCATATTGTGCAATAATTTCACAATTTGCTTATTGGAGGTATATACTGTGAAAATGCATAACGACTTTTTCGCAATTTTTGACAAATATTATTTACAAAATTTTATTTCAACAAAACTGTTGCGTGATGGCGAATCATCTTAGTGCAATCATTGCAAAATCGTCGCCATTCATGATGCCATTTTTGTGCAATATTTTCACAAATGTGCCTATTAGGGTTAGTATCGTTCTTACATTCGTGCAAGCATGACTTGTATTTGATACTCAATTGTATATTTTTATTGTATGACGTATATATTAGTTTTTAATTAAATCAGTTGTAAATGATAATTTCTTTGAGGTATGTAAAATTATTTATGGGTGTAATGACAGCTCTGCATTTCAAGTTTTACTGATAGGTGTACATTATTATTGGAACAGATTCAATTGATAAGGACTTAAAATATAGTCAAAACATTTTGAAACACATCCAAGTACATTTATTTATTGAACGACATATTGCACTGGCTCTACATAGCAGTTGAGTTCATATCTTGATTTTGATTTTGAGAGAAAGCCTGAGGTGTACGCATTATTACTTCACTTTATTTAAAAAGTTATTAAGAAAAAGTTCTAGTAATGAAGCATAGTAGCTCAANGGGGTGCATGTAGAGGGGCAGCCCTTCCTTTGCAGCGGGCGCAACCCCCCCCTGCCAACACGCTTTCAACTCAAAGAAAATGTACATAGAATCGAGAAATAAGAGTTTATTTATAAAACTTTTTTTTTTTTTTTTTTGATCAAAGGGTTCGTAATTGTCAATATTTACTTATATTACTTTGTCGCTAACCTCTACTATACTTAGAAATTCGTGTAGTCGTATGTTGAAAGCATTAACAACCTGCGAGAAAACGAAACGAAATCTTGACCTTGTAGCTTTGTTTACATTCCTCAACACATCAGTCCGACATTACACAAACTTAACTGTTCGTAAGAACAACTTGTAATATATAGAATAAAGCATTAAAATTCTGAAACTTCAACTTGCCATATCTCCTAAATCAAGGCCGTCACCATAAAATTTTTTACTTAATTACTCAGTATGACCTGCTCTACAACACGTCTAAAGCGCAACAAAATCGGAGCTGTGTGACCAAAAATGCATAATTACCATCCTTGAAACTTATTCTAAGCAAATTTTCCACAGTTTCATCAAGAATCGCCGTACGATTTTCTTACGTTTTACGGTTTTGACAAATCTTTTACAAATTTGGAGCCACTATGTGATTGAAGCATTCGCTAATTCTTAATTTGTGGATAGTCATGGCAACAAAAGTTCCTACTGCGTCAGTTACCGTTAGCAGATATAAAATCTACTGATTCATTAAAGGAAGTTTGGTTTCCTTTCCACCACTTTTTTCTCTCTTACACTTATTACAGTGATAGTCTATCTATCGCGGTAACACTGCGAAATTNGCGACTTAACTTGAATCGTTCTGTTACCAGTTTTGTGTTTAATTATTAAAACATTAAACCATATAATATTAAGAGAATTATTTTCTTGTGTTATTTTCGTGATATTTTCTGTTTCTACTCGAACGAATATACANAACATATTTATTGTACAAGTCATGTGAAATATATCATCCACGTCGCATTTTTTCTGTGAACTTATTAACCAAGCAATTTTGTTACTATAATTACGAGTAAAAGTACAAGTTGCACATAGAAAATCATGATTTATTCGAATATTATTACTAACATATATGCTGTGCTTGTGTTTTGTGTTATCTTACAGTGAAAAGTATATGTGTAAATATAAAATACTTGATTAATTTTACTATTTATTTTAATTCGATTATTATTTTCTGACGATATTCTTTACTGCNTATGAAAATTGAACTGTGAACATATTTAATGACACTGCAAATAATGTTAAGGTTTTTACTTTTCGCTGTCCAAATATTTCACAGTTGTGGAAAAGTAATTGTGTTACGTGGAGAATCACTTCATATTAATTCATCTACATGTAGAAATGAGAGAAAATATATATGTCTCTCAGAAGACGACGGCGGCGCACTTGTATGGAATGATGACTTAATTCATAGTCAATATCAGCAAAAAAATCGTGCTGACTTCCGTAAGTTATTAACGTACTTACAACATTGCTTTTTAAAATAAACTTTTTAAAATAAACTTTTTCAACAAATTATTTTCCTTTGGTTTATATAACTACACGTTTAAAACTTGTTTGTAAATAAGTTCTACTTTATCTTAGAGTTAAGAACTATTTTTATTGAAAGTTGAAACTAAATATTTTATGTAGTCATATTATACTTCTCGAGAATATACGCTTACAGACACGCATATGATTGTAGAGTTTCACAGTACACATCTATACAATACCTGGATAAATTGCAATTTTAACGCAAACCCAGAATGTTTAGAATCACAAACTGGAATAAGCGGAAAACTAACATTAGAACAGTCGTACGATGTATGGATAAATTGCACAATGAACGCAACAAGAAGCTGGTTAGATTCATGGATGCGAAAAAACTGGAGTCTTACAGATGCTGTGAGAACACCTATGGGTCCCGTACTTGATCAAAGATGGGAAGGTAGAAGATTTACAGTGTGTAAACACTTATTCATTAATTTAAAGTATTTACTATATACACTGTGTCATTATATGTTTGTAAACTGTAGATTTAATATTATTATTTTAAATATTATATATTTAAAATTTTTAGAATTTCGAGAGTCACACACATTCACACAAGATGTTCCAAACATATATTCTTCCATGTTTCCATCAAAATCAATTCCAAAAGCAGGAGCGATATCTGTTTCACTTCGTTCATGGAAGCATGTGAACATTTCTGTCTGTGTTACTAATCAAAAAACTAATTTTTTGTATCAAGGCCTTTGCTTTACTATAAAATTAAGATCTGATAGTATGGCGTCCAATATTGAATATACAAACAATATGAAAGAATCAAACAAAAATCGAAATCAACAGCGCTCTTTTAACAACACCATTTCCAAACAAGTAAGATATATGTATACTACATTTTTTGTAGTTTTGTGATTTTCACGTTTTTTCTTTCTTATGTATAATCAAGAACTGTTAAAATTACAATTTAACAAAGAATATTTGTACTTGAAATATAATTGAGTATGTGTAAATATTTACGACATTGAGAAAGAAAAATATATCACAAAAGAATGAAACAAAAAGTCAGAAAAATCGCCATAAACAACNCAACTACTCAAACATTATATTTAACACAAAAGCATTCATACTTATTCTAGTTACTATCACTATCTGGGACTGAATGGCGAACGTTCGTCATTTCATGGAATTTTTGGAATAGAAATGTTTCCGTTTATGATACTAACGATAATAACAAC